GGCCATGTGACTAATTTTTGCCAATGGAATATGAGCAGTTTGATATATGTCATTTTGGGAGCAAGACTTATAAGAAGCTGATATGTCTTCTTGTTCTCATCCCTCTTCACCTGACTGAATTCAAAAGACATAGGAAATGGCAGAGCGGCAATATGAAAGGCACCTGGACCCCTGATTCATCATGTAGAATAAAGTGACCTCATCCAGAAAAATCCAAACTGGATTTACATGAGTAAGAAATAAACTTCTAAAATGTAAAGCCACTAAAATTTGTGGGAGTATTTGTCACAGTAGTTAGTGTCTCCCTGATACTGAAATTGGTACATATACTTGAATGTATTTTTGACTTTGAAGAATTCTTACAAATCTATTCTTCCCATGTATAAGAATATATTAATACTAAATATATTCATAAAAATTCTGCATTCTTGTCACTCTTCTTTATTCCCCCAGTCTCCCATCTCTCTGCTACTCAGTCTTCATTTCCAAAGATAAGAGCCTGGAATTGAGACAAATTAGAATAGTGCTTAAAACAAAAGAATACTTTCATATGAAGATAAAAGCCAATCAACTAAAAGCAAAAGCAAATAGGTAAAAAAAAAAAAAAAAATGGATTCAAAAGTTGGTCATGTGGTGAATAGGCTATTTAGCAAATTCACTCAGAGACGGTACATGAAATATTCTGAAAATGTTTGGGGGGAAAGAAATGGAGAAGCGGGGGAGAAAGGAAGGAGAAAGGAATGAAATAAGGAAAGGAAGAAAAACCCTCGGTCCCAGCCACTCGATGGCTACATACACATCACGTAAAAATCCACAAACCCTCAAAATGTAGTTAATTATTTGTTTCCTTGCCTTCATCACAGAGTAATAAGTGACACAACGTAACCTGAAAAAGAACAAATAACGAGGGAAAAAATAGGACTATTTACTTGCCATGGACATTTTAAGCTTGAATCTGAATTTTGAACTAATAAATCTAAAGCCTAGAAATGTTCAATGGTTGGTTGGTAATATTAATATTAAAAGAGTTGTGCCATTCTATATAGCCAGTAATCTTAAAAGTTCCAAGTTAACTGAAAAATGGAAAATAATATTGATCATCAGCTGATAGACAATATGGAATCCATTATCTAATTCCTGCTTGTACTGGATTTAGTTTTTAAGTCTTTTCTCGGTGACACGAAACAACGCTTACCAAGGATAGCTCAGATATAACCCAGGTTATACCCCCAAGGTAATTAGATTTGGTAATACAGTAGAGCAGGATTCCATCACTGAATTGTAATATTTTCCGAACCCAAATGTTCCTAATTATATTAAAGAAGTTTACTGATAATTTTAAAGGAGGAATGTAGTACTTTGCTCTTGGTAAGTAAAAAATTCCACCATATAATCAACAAATTCACCCAGAATCAAATTATATTTGGTGAAATAGGGCAGATTATCATATTTAAAGAGTTTATTATCACAAATTAAAATATCTTTGCATCTTTAGCAGAGTAATCACTTTTTAACAATTTTGGATGTCATTAAAAAGTGTCAAGAGAAATAAAACATCCGTATAAAACCAGCACACTTAAAATTACCATTACGAGGTAATAATTTTTAAAGAGCTATAGTATGCCTTATTATTAAATTCAATGTATACAAAATAAATAATTGATAAGTTCTCTAAATGATATAAAGTAATCTATATCATATGTTTTGGGTTTTTTTAATTATTTCCAAGTTTTCAGGAGGGGAAATATGTTCAGAAGAGCACACGCCAATGCTTTATTGTTGGCATAAATTCAAATACCAAGTTAGTACACACATTAAGCACATGCCAACATTCTGTATATAAGTCGACTGTTTCAAATTCAGACAGCATTTGACTCTGGAAACAACATCATAAGTGCAGTGTTGGCTTTTTTTAAATCAACCTCTCAAAATCCTATTTAGATTAATCCTATTCATACTAATCTAAGATCAGTCTAGAGCTCTGGCCTAGAAACAGGAGTGAGACATTTCCTCCTGTTTCTGAATCATGGAAAAAGCCTTGGACTTTTTGAAGTATGTAGAGATTCTGTGGAACAGAACCCACAGAACTCAGGGTCCCTTTCAAAGTACCTCCTTCTTGAAACCTTCCCTGCTGCACTTGGACTTGAGCTGCACTAGCAAAGTCCTGAATCCCCAGAGCTTTCGGAGCATTGCTAGCACAGTTATTACGGTGTTTTTCCTTTCTTCCTCCTATTATGATGGCTTGCGAAGTAACCTTGCCCTCCCCTTCCTTCACCCTAGAATCCTCCTAGCAACACATACACACGCATGCATGCACGCACGCACACACACACACACTGCACAACTCCTAGAGGGCAATGTATTTTACTCATTTATCCCATAACAACCCCAATAGCAAGGACAACAGGGAAAATACAGCAAGTGTAATTACTTCCTTTATATATTGACTATACTTAGTGCTCATTTTGTATTAATATCACGTTTAAGTTAATGCTGCCTACTAAACCCTGCCCCAATGATTAATTTAGAATGCCACCTAGAGCAGATGGTCAGTAAATTTATATTAAACAGATACTAGTTTCTGTTGCCAAAAGTAATGAAATTATGATTGGCCAAAAGATTAAACGCAAGGCAAGCCCCTGTTTCCCTAAAGCGAAAGTCTGAGAAAGCTTTCCAAAGCTCAGACTATTCCTCTGACTTCTTTTTCTTAGTTTCTGGGAGATGGTTGGTATATCTTAGGGTATATACTCCATAGCTCTTGAGACAAATTAATCAAAGCTAACAGTGGTGGCTTCTGGTGGGCAAATATAAGTACAGCCCCCGATTAGGTAGCCCTTGGGGTATTGAATGGTTGTTGTATTCGCATTTAGCCATAAGAGGGAGCCAGCCACTGTGGTAAACATCCGTGGCCAGCCGGAGGTGCCATATTGCTCTTATGCTGCTGTGGCCCAAGTCCCTGAAAGAAGCATTTCTATTAACAGATCGAGGTCTCTTTAAGAAAAAAAAAAACATATCAAGGAAAACTAGAGTTCCGAGACATTCCTATGTTTTCTAAGTTTTTCATCTAGAGCGTTGCTTAGCTTTGGTTATAACTCTCATTATGTGTTTTCTAGCTATTTGAGCCAAGGAAACAATCAATGATGAAAAGGGATATGGTTTGGGAGGTTCCAGGTTTCCGGATACGCCGTATTGTATCACGCAAGGACTTCTAGTGACTCACTATCATTGACAAACTTCATTCAGTATAACATTAAATCAAATTGAATGGCTAATACAATAGATAGCACCTACACAGAAGAACTGAGATTTCTAGCAAAAAGAGAAACAGAAGGTACTAAAATAAAAAGCTGAAGGGGATCCCTGTTTCCAGATACTGAAATGGGAACAGCCTGCTTGCTCTTTTGGATGACTCCACTATAGCCTACAATGACTGCCACAGGTCCAACTTCCCCAATATCAAGTCCTTCTATAGATTACTCTCTTTCTCTTTGCATTTTTCATGGTGAAAACTCTGTAACTGGGGATAATACTCACCTAATCAGGGGGGCCAAATGAAATTTAAAATTATATAAATTTAAGAGACTATACTTAATAAGGATGGCTTCATAGGTTAAGTATAGAATAAACCAAAAATAAGTGATTGCCTTTTCATTATTTTGGGCAAGGGAACTAGCCCAGAGCATTCTCTCTGTGTTCTATAAATAGGTACCAGTTTGTACTTTTTAATCAATATCATTATTTTAACCCAAGTCCTAAACAAGGACATAACTTAAATTAACCAAAGAAGACAAGAACAAAAATTCATTGAAATTTTTTTTTATCTAACTGACCAGTTCACATTCATGGGCTGCAATCTGGGTTCCTGAGCACTTTCACAGACCACAAGAAAAAAGTATCTCAACTCTTAAAAAATAAAAATCTACCTCCAACTGCCCAGCATTTAAGTCTCAATGACCATCATGCCCAAGAGTTGAGAGCTCGTTTCCATCTGCCATCCCAAAGATCGCAATTATCATCACTGCCCCACCTTTGCGCCACTTATAGCGAGGTACAATCCCGGAGGCTACAGAAAGCATACTTGGAGCCCAAACAAAGTCAGAAAATATTCCACACTCCCCATAGGGGCAAGTCAACTAATGTTGCACAGATCATGACTTGGTATTTTGCTTTGTTTTTTTTTGTTTTTCTACACTGGTCTTTATTACTGTAAATATTTTTATAGAACTGTGGTCACTTTTATCTTCTTAATTCTTTATTGTTTATGGTGACAGTGACCATACTGCAGCATCAAGTAATTTAGGTACCAAAGAGACATACCCCCTTTTTTAAAGTTTTGACTAAGACAACACCTTAGAAAAGACATAACTATAAAAAATATTAGAGAAATAAGGAAAAAGCAATCTAAAAGCTCTAATCAATATGGAAAAGAAAGAAAGAAAGCAAGAGAGAGAGAGAGAGAGAGAGAGGGAAAGAAAGAGAGGAAGGGAGGAAGAAAGAAAGAATTGGTTTGGAATACAAACTACAAAAGAACAAAGATGCTTTTATCTGCATTTATACAGAGAAGAAAGAAAGAAAGAAAGAAAGAAAGAAAGAAAGAAAGAAAGAAAGAAAGAAAGAAAGAAAGAAAGAAAGAAAGAAAGAAAGAAAGCAGCTTAGAATAGTGTTTGGCACACAGTTGGTACTTAAGAAATATTGAATGAATGAAGTACTTAGAATCATAAAGAGGGAATGATAAAAATTAAACAACTATTTGAGATGCACTTTATGTTATTTTAGCTCTCTTTAATATGTTTTATAAGCCATTCTTTAAATAACAAATAGTGGTATTCTGAGTTATACGTGGTTATTTGATGCTGTTTTCCTGGTGATGAACTTGAACTACAAACTAACAATTAAAAAGCCCCTTTTACTCACCCTTTGTTGTGGAGACAGTGCTATACATGCTGTTTTCTAGGTAGGTTTCTAGGATGAAACTCACAATATTTGCTGTGCATACTTACACAGCGCCTCAATTTCTGCTTAAGGCTATGAAATTCTTCCACAAAGTGTATTTCCTTGCAAACTTGTAATTGGAGTTGACCAAAAACATCTTCCATGAAGAAAGACAGAAGCTGTTCTTGGAATCTGCAGTTTTTCTATAAAAAAGATATAAGAAGTTGCATAAGGTAAACCATAGTTTTTGTAAAATGCCGTTGAAATATTCCCCCTGGTTAATACCTAGTGATTATCTGGAAAAAAAAAAATTAAATGCAAGGAAAAAAGCATCAAACAAGTAGAAACATAAAAATAAAAAAGACCCTCTGGCTTACCATGAATAGCTTTTTGGTTTTCTTTTTTAATAATCGTATATTTTTTATGCGATCTTCCTACAATAAAACAAAGAGAAATAAGTTTTATCCAGAATTACAAACGCCCTTTAGGTCATCATTCTAAGCAGAGCCTAATACTTACTGGAATTGTTGCTTTGAGCCATGCTGCCTTGACATAGAGTATATCAACAGCTTGGGACAGTGTTCCCCTTGGGTAACAACTTTTAGCGACGGAAGATTGCTTGTGCCTAGCAATAGCAAGAGACAGAGTGACGAGCAGCAATCCAGACTTCAAAATGCAATTCACCCACATCTCCTTCCACTTCACTCTGGGCCTGTGTCACTCACAGCAGCCAGAGAGTTACTTATGTTGGTTAGATGAGAGGATAACCTATTTATTTAAGCCCTCAAGGCTGCCTCTTCAATGAGATGCTGTGAAAGATAACTTACAGTCTATATAGAAGATCACTTTGCTGCTCTATTTTTTTTTTTTTCTTGCTTTATAGTCAAAAATCATTGACCACACCATCTGTGAAGTTAAGTAAAAGCTCAAATTTACTGATAAGGTTGGGGCCTCGTTTAAAAAAAAAAAAATAGTCAGAACTTCAGTTGCATATTACAACAGATTTCATTGTTTTAAAAGTCATGCCAGGCCAATGAAAGAGCCTGATCTCCAGGTGGCTGTGTGAATGTTTTTAAATTCCCATATGGAAAAAAAAAAAATCTCTTTTTCTAACAAGTATTCTAGAAAAATGTAATCAAATCATAGAATGGGCAGCCCTGGGAAATCTACTTATGATCTCAAATAGATTTTTATATATCTCTGGCCAAATCTTTCACCTGGCCATTGTTATCAGTCAGCATCAAGACCCAAGAGAGAAGTTTTCCAACTTTTCTCAAGAACTTTTCCAGCTTAGAAACTGTAACTCCCCTAGTATATTCAAGATTTGTTTGAAACTAGACATGAAATTAGGACTCACAATTTAGTAGGTTCTTCAGCATTTCTAGCCAAGTTGATGACACAGACTTTTCCTCTAACTCTAGACTTCCAATAGAATATGAATTCTAAAGATAGGAAAGAGATCCTATCTTTTTATCTTTGAATCCTCAGCACCTACCATGGTGCCTCATCTAAAAAGCACATCCAATATTAGTTGAATACTTTCCTTTCCACATCATGAGATGTTACTATAACTGCTTTTTTTTTTTTTTCAATTTATTCCATCAACAAATTCTTATCAGAGATCTGCAAATACAAAAACTAGTGCTGGGTACGAGAGGGCTATGAAGGCAGATGCTCCATGGTCTCCCATCTTCAGTTCTGTCCCAATTCTTCCTGTAGTGATAAGGATGGTTAATTTAGGGTAGCAGCCTCAAGATAAAAAGTGAACATAGCCCAAGATCATATACTGAGACGCAGAGTTAAGTCACCAAAGCCTAGCATGAATAGATTTAACATAGTACCCAGGCAAGTCAACACTAAAAATCTGGTTCTGAGAGATTCATCAAAACTAGGCAGAGTCAATAACAAGCATCAGAACCCAAGACAAAGGTCTAAATCAAGGCTACCAGGCCAGGGCTGGCCAAGGTGCAAGGAGAAAGTATAAAGTGAAAAATCCAAACACTTGAGAGTCTTTTCTGCTGTTTCGAAAAATAAGCGGATCTCTTTAAAGAGCTTAAGCCTCATTTCCACAGGAGCACTCTGCTGGTGAGGAACATATCCCCTGAAATGAGATGATAACGTCACAAAGAGCTGCAACAGAAGACGGCTGATCAAGAGTATAAAGTGAGGTTCACTGAAATTTTATAAAAATTCAGGAAATGAAAGAATTATTTTTAGCTGGAAGTAACTTAAAGGGTGTTTGAACTGGGGCATAAAATACTCTAAGATTTGAGCAGAATAGCACCTACTATTCAAAGTTCCTTTAGACAAAAGAGTGTGAACAGCGGAGATCAGAAGCCCAAATGCCTTCAGAGGATATGCGATTAACACAAATATGTTGAGTGGGTAGATATAGGAAAATTGGGACTAAATTGCTTAGATTGACACCAAGCTTAAAATCTGCTTAATTATATAGCCTATTAACACACTGAGTGGGTACAATAAAAAGACCACACAAAGTACTTCCAGGAGCCATATACTGTCTTGAGCAGCTAATTTGGGGTCCCTGATGTATACCAGCAAAACATAAGTGCAACTTAAATTGCTATTATTGATAAATAAAGTCAATGTGGGTTCTGTTTTTTTGTTGTTGTTGTTGTTGTTGTTTTAACTTCTGGTAGTTTTGTTTCTATAATTGTCTTATATCCCTAAAATTATTATGACACAAGGAAGATCATACATATCCCAAGGATGCCTCTGCTTTGGTTTATAGCCAACTCAAGAAAACTGTGGTCATCTCTTTATGACTGGAAACTATGTCACTCAATTGATCATAGTCATCCCAGACCTTAGTCAACAGACCTGCCTCATTAGGGTCTTTTAAAAAGTCAAATCTGACCTCAAAGGATAAATAATGATCAATATAAAGGATACTAAAAACACGACAAGTTACGACAATTCCAAAAGGAAGTTCCAATGTTGAGTTTAATTGCTGTTCAAATATCTTCAGAAAGATTACACTATGATTTAGCATTGATACAAAAGTTAATGTGTTCACAGAAAGGCACAAAACAGCAGTGGGATACAAATCTGATATTAGAGAAGCAAATATTTGTCTATGGAGAAACAACCAAAATTACAGTTCCTTGCAAAGCAACAACCAAGTGCTAAATGTTAAGAAAACATTGTATCATAGTTAAATTAACAACATTTTTTTTTTCCTTTCTTAGCGGTAAATAAAACAATGGTACAGCTTTCAACATATGGCATCTTAAACTTGTTGAAATACAATATTCGATTACCTCATGATTGAATTCCTTCGGGTCATAAGTCCTAAATCAATACAGCTATAAATAAGAGATAGATGGATTATTTTAATCTAGTCATCCTAAAAAAATAAACAAACAAAAAATCCAACACTGAAATCCAATATGTTTTTTTCTAGGATATATCCAGGAGATATAAATGAGAAACAGTTCTAGATAGATAAATATCTTCAATACAGTGCCTTGGTTGTGTCCCTCCAGAAAAGGTAATTCCTCTATACAATTCAACCCAGGAAACCTGTTATTCTCAAGCTTGTATCATCAGAGGGATGGATGAAAACAGGTTAGAGAAGAAACGAAGAGTGCTGTAAATGTTTTGGATGGGAAAGAAAGGAGATATGGAAGCTGGATACATGGAGCAGCATGAGGAGGAAAAATGCAAGAAAATTCACTGACTCTCAGCCTATGTTCCAAGCCCTGTTCTAGGTGACTCGTACTCTACATGTTTTCACCCTTCATCATTAATTAATTCATTCACCAAATACTTATTGAATGCTTATTGGGCCTTGGGATGGATCAATAAAAAAGATATTGATTTGACAAAACATTCTAGTGGTAGTGGAAGGAGAGACAGACAATAGATAGAATATATAAATTATGAGTAAGTTACATGTAGTTAGAAAATAATAGATGCTTTGGGGAAAAAATAGATTAGAATAAGGGGGATGTTGACACTGAGATGTGGATGGAGATGATCGTACATAGTATGATCACAGAAGGCCTCAGCGAAAACATAACATTTAAGCACTGGCTAGAGTGAAGTAAGGGAGAAGGGAGTAAGCTATGGGGATTACTGTTCAGTCAAAAAAAAAAACACTCATTCAGTCTACGGCTGTGCCACCCTGAACACGCCCAATCCCATCTGATCTTGGAAGCTAAGCAGGGTCGGGCCTGGTTAGTGCTTGGATGGGAGACCACCTAGAAAGACCAGGTGCTGTAGGTGTTTTTAA